ATTGTAAGGAAGAGTTTTTAAAATTAGTGAAAAATAATATATACCACACACATCTTATATTTGGGAAAATTTATAGCATTTCGTCATACCATTCTTAATCTAATTTCTAGGGGGAAAATGTAAACTTTAATAATTAGTCATCTCACTCAAATTGTGGCTTAAATATGTACTAATAGGCATGAGTATACAATGTGAAATTGTAAAGCAACATGTGTAAAATTTGTGGGTGTAAAAACCTATTGGCATCAAGTCAATCTCATGTAGTCATACATATACAGATAAAAGCTTATTCAACCTCTTTGAGTTGAGTTTCAAGGCTTTCTGATGTTCGTTTGTAATTTTACGTGGTTTCTACTTTCAAAATCTAAGAAAATATTTTATTGTTAGTAGCAGGGGAGTTTAATCGCTGCATCAAAAATACGATGTAGAATAAGCTGTGGTTCATTTTTTCTGAAATAACCTGCTATCTGATATATTAAAACACCTCAAAACTTAATGATACCTTCAGCAAGGAGCCTTTGTGGCATAGTGGGTTACAAGTTGGGCTGCTAACTACAAGGGCAGCAGTGTGAAACCACCAGCCACTCAGCGGGGGTACTGGGGGGCGCTGAGAGGGAAATATGAAGTTTGCTTTTCTCATAATGATTTCCAGACCCAGAAACCCATGGGCAGTTTTACCCTGTCCTATAGGGTCACTGAGTTGGAATCAACTCAGTGGAAAGATAAGTGATATTTCTTTCTTTTTTTAAAAATTTGTTATAAGTGATATTTCAAGGAGTGTTGGAGGTGCTATCAGGTTCCAATTGGACTGCTAGCCACAAGGTCAGTAGTTTGAAGTTGCTATGCAGGAGAAAACGGAATCTATCCTCCTGAAAGATCCACAGCCTAGGAAACATGATATAGAGTTGTTATGAGTTGGAATTGAGTTGACGGCAGTAAGTGGGTATCTATACAAGCCTAATAATAGTGTCCAACAGTTACCAAGGATTCTTCTAGTAGTGCAAACAATTAACTTGCTCATCTGCTAACCAAAATAGGGGTTATACTTGCTCTCTGACACCCAAAGAGAAAACCCGGTGATCTTGGGGAGAGGGGGGGGGGGG